TCTATCCAAACAAATCAACACGATGGAGGTTCTGGTAGAAGCCGCCATGAGGAAAATCATGCTCGAAAGAGCCGACACCATGAACAGCAAAAAGACGATAAAAGTTACGAAGATGAGACGGAATATAAAAAAAATCACCGTGGCAGTAGTATTGCTGTGGATACTGATTCTGGTGGAGATAGGAACACTCACAGGAGACATCGTGACATTTCCGAAAACAGGTCAAGGCACAATTGGAGAGATTATGATGGTAGAAGCAGTAGAACTCATGGTAGTAGTTCTGATGAAGATTTGTACATGGAAAGACGACATGTTTACAAGAAACGAAGGTCACGACACCGAGAGAACATCTCGGAATCATCTAACGATGATGGAGAATCAGGCGGTGCAAAACACGAGCCACAATGGCAACCAAGTTCTGACCCTAGTGAAACCGAGTTGCAAAAACATAAAGAACGTAAAACTAATTCCGCTAGATATCATCGAAGATCAAGAAGACACGATGACAAGGTGGACCATCGACAATCCCAGAACAAGCAAAAGAGGCGCCACAGAAAATCTGCTAGTCTGCACCGATACGAGAGGAGTAGATCACGGGATAGCGGGTATCTCTCGGACAAAGACAACGATAGGAGTGAGCGTTGGGATCCCGACGGTTCTCCCAATGAACATGGTGAACATAGGAGTAATAAGGTTGACTATGAGAAATCTGAAGATCGGGAAACACGTTCAGGCAGCTTGGAAGAAGAGTCGAAAAGCCGGCAAATTCGTGATCGGAAGAGAATTTGAGAAGCAGTCGTTGGTTAGATAATCGACTTAAGGTGTACAGTTTATTAGAATATATTAGATCTAGATTGAAATCAAACTATCAACATGTTGGAAACAAAAAGAGACGATGCAAATAAGTACTTAGAAGAATAGCTGAATTTGAACATTGATTAAATCTCCATATATGTCGATGTCAATGGATCAATGAAAGATACGGGTTTGAAACCGGAAAAAAAACACCTAAATCAGTTTTACCCTGCTAAAATTTTACGCTATTTACACTCTTGGCATCATCTTGCTACTCATCGTCGTCTGCTCTCATTTCATTTTTCTTGGCCAATTTCCCTCTTTTTTATACTTTTCTTTTATTTTTCCCATTCTTCTATCTATGTGTACTCCATTAAGTTGTTAGAAAATAGGAAGAATCAAAAGACAGTTATCATAGAGAGGCAGATTGATGCAAAGGCAATACAGGGACGGGCGGTGACAAAGAGCAGATGACATGAGGTGGCAAGGGAGCAATGGTGTTTGGGCGAGGGGTTGAATGGTGTAGAGTTTCGAACGGTAAAATTAAATTAAGTTTTTTTTTTTTCTACTTTATGATATTTCTAGCCGATTAAAAGTAGTTTTTTTTGTGTGTTTTAAAGAGTATAGGAAACTAATTTCTAAAAGTTAAATGGTTTATTTATTCAAAAACTAAAGCATGATTTTCCTTCTTATAGTTTATTGTTCATAACTATTTTTGTTCCTAGGTTTTTAAAATTGTTTTTTTTTTTTTTAAATTATTATGGCTTTCAATTTGTTTCACTAAGATACTAGGGTTGATAAGAAAGTATGAATGATATAAACTTATAACTTAAGAATAGATTTAAGAACAAATTCAAAAACAAGTGAGGATCTATGGAAGAAGCTTTTATTTCTTTCCAATGATGAGGGGGAAACCTTCCTTATATAGGCAAGGATAAGGTGCCCTTACATAACCATGATATAAGCATTACAAAAACAACCAATTATTGATTCAAAATGAGGTAAGCGTTTACATCACTTAAAAGTGACTTAAAACTTCATCTTTTTTACATAACACTAATACTTAAGGCCTAAGAAAGACTTGCGCACATTATTTTGCAATAAAACTTTTGGAATATTTTTATTCTATTTTATTTCCAATGTCAATCCAAATGAGATGAATCGTCTTCGTACGGGTCAAAATGCTCTTTATATGGGTCGTAATCATCATCTTCTTTTTGGTATGTGGAATCATATTCGTCAGAGGTATCTATTTCTGTGATAAATGAGTTTGAAGCCACTGTTGGACAGACTCATTTACTTTGATGACAACGGGTGTTCTGCAGGCCATAAATCTTTATTTCCGTAGGATCTCCTGCTTCATATATCTTTTTTAGCTTGTGTTGAGAACCCTTCCTTTTTGGAGTGTATTCATCATACTCAACTCGGTATGCCTCATCTAGGCATTCTTGACAGTTGCAGACGTCACAACAACAATGTTTTACTGACTGTGAAGGTTGAACTGGCTCAACCATGTGGACTGTAGGAAAGATGTTGGGTTTTTTCTGGGAAGAGAATTTGACTTCTACAAGTCCGTTTTCATGTCAGATGAAGTTTGGGGCCGTGGTAGTTTGTACTGGTGCTTGGTGGATCTGCTCGTAGTTAGTTATCCATTTTTCTTGGAGTAGCTTGAGTAACTCCTCTTTGGACGACTGTCTGGGGATGTAGTGTAGCATCCAAGTTCCAAAATATCCAATTATTTGTTTAGAATAATTGATTATTTATTGAGTTATAGTGGGTTTATAATTTAGTGGGAGTTTGTAGATCCAAATGGGTTCTTAGACGGGCCAAGCAGGCCCAACTTGAGTTTAGCATTTATAAAATAAGAGATTTGATCCATTTTCCATATCATCTAAGTCTAGAACTCTCACCCACACTTAAGGTGTGATTTACACACATTTAAGGTTAAACCTTCAAACCGTGAAGATCCATGTTAGATTCTTGAAGACTAAGTGTTAATCATCAAATGTATGCTTCTAATTTCAAGTTTATTTCAAGTAGAAGTGTATAAATTAGAAGCTAGATTCTGTTTTTGGAAGATTATAAAGGATAATGTTGATTATTGTGTGAATCGGAAGCTATTTTGGGTAGGTAAGTAACATGCAGTGAGTTTTATGGCCAAATTTTGGGTTTAAGTATGGTAAAAACAGGGGTTTAACAGAGGATTTTTTTTCAAGAAGTTTAAATAGGATAATCAATATCTAAAGTGTATAATTTAAGGTTGATATATGGTTGGTTTTGATTCTGAAATGTTTACTCCAGGGGCTGTTTTTAAGGCTAATTAGAACCTTTGAAGGTTTATCGCTATTGTTGGTTGGATTGGAGGTTACCGCGTTTGGTCGTTTATAAGAAAGCACTGTGAGTTTATATCAAACTTATACTTATGTATAGTATAAATATATGAACTTTTGTTGAAAAGTTGCTGAATTTCTTGCATGTGTTATTTTGTAAGATAAATTTCTCCCAAACTGTGTTTTGGTACCGCTTAATCCTATTAAATTTATGTTTAAGTCCCGGATCCGAGACTGTTTCATTGGTTTTTAGTTGAACCATGATCTATGGGTATTACTTTGTGTGATGCGCCGTAGCATGGTGTATGTCCACGTATCCTAGGGAGAAGGAGGTTGGGTGTGGCATACTGGTTGTATTCAYGTATCCCGAATGATAAGGAGTCGGGTGTGAATACTTGCACGGCCCTTGTAGATGAAGGGGGGGGGGGGTATGGTGCACATAAAAACTCTATTTTGAAAATGATACCTTTGGTGTTGAACACCCTTTTTGGGCTGAAATTGATCTTACTTATCTTAAAAAGTCTTTATAAGCGTTGTATGTTAAGATTGGAAATTCAAAGTTTTTATGCTGTGATTAATGGCCAAGTTTGGAATTTTGAACCCTTTGAGACCATCGATCCTCTGGTTGCATTGTGCTATGAACCCTTTGAGACCATCGATCCTTTGGTTGCATTGTGCTTTGAATCCTTTGAAACCATTGACCCTCTGGTTGTATTGATCCATCGATCCTTTGGTTGTATTGAGACCATTGACCCTCTGGTTGTATTGTACTTTGAATCCTTTGAAACCATTGATCCTCTGGTTGTATTGATACATCGATCCTCTGGTTGTATTGAGACCATCGACCCTCTGGTTGTATTGAGACCAT